ATTAAATCCTGTGTAAATGAAATTTATTTACCTCTGACTGTGATCTTTAATGAATCTCTACGTCAGGGTTATTTCCCAATATTCTGGCGATCTAGTTATATTATCCCTCTTCACAAATCTGGAAATAGAAGAAAATTACAGATGTATTGCAAAACTAAGCGCTATACCTAAACTTTTTGAGCTATTGATATGTCGCAGATTAAACCATTTCACAAAATCTATAATATCGCCTTTTCAACATGGTTTTATTCAAGACAGATCTACAACTACAAACCTTTTGGAATTCATTAATAAAGTTCACAAGGGTTTTAGTAAAAAAATGCAGACAGATGTTATATACACTGATTTCAGCAAAGCATTTGATACTGTTGCTTTATAAACTTAGTCTTATGGGATTTCCTAATACATTCTTAAATTGGATATCTACCTACTTAGAAGGTCGATCGCAGAAAGTGTTACTTAATGACTCATTATCCAGGAATATCACTGTCTTATCGGGGGTTCCACAAGATAGTCACTTAGGACCTCTTCTTTTTATTCTCTACATCAATGACCTTCCTTCCGTTATCCGCTTTTCAAAAATACTAATGTATGCTGATGATGTTAAGCTTTTCCGGCATATCGAATCTTCAAGTCATCCCAATCTTTTACAGTTCGATTTGCATTCTTTGGCTAACTGGTGTAGCGCCAATGGAATGTTTTTAAATCTTAAAAAATGTAAGAGGCTATCATTATTCAGAATGCAACAAATCTGCATTGATTATCACATTGGTTCTTATAAGTTGGAAAATATTTTGTCTTTCGTAGATCTAGGAGTAATATTAGACCCTAAACTGAAGTTTAATCTCCATATAGAGTCTTGCATTAATAAAGCAAAATCTTTATTAGGATTCATTAAGCGCTGGTCCAAAGAATTTGATGATCCTTACGTTACAAAGCGCCTATTTATTACTCTAGTTCGACCAACACTAGAGTATGGTTGTATTTTATGGAGCCCCAAGTGTTATTCCTAAATTTCAATATTCCATCCCGTACTACCCGTAACTTTATCCCAATAAATTTACCGCTCGTAAGATCTAATTATGAAGCTAGTAGTCCAATGCGAACTTTGTGTGAAATATTTAACAATATATATATAGTAGCTTATCACTGACTGAACCATTAGATATAATAAAAAAATTACTATTGCGTATGTAGCAGAGTGCCAGATGTGTAGTTTGTGTAGTTTTTAAATATTAGAGTGATTCTGTATTTACTTTAATTATAAATGTGTTTATTTATAGTAGTCTATGCCGGCTGATAAAATATGTAGCCGGTCATCCCACCATTTACTAACCCCTCCATAGTCCGGACTATGGGGTTTCGCGTTCCCTTCGATATAGGGTGGTCGCCCCCACGGTCGGTTGGGGCGGGTGTGAGTGGCGTGGGACCGAACGAAAAAAAAAATTTTCCAGAAATTTCGCATAGTGTTCTGAATTGAGTCTGAAATGATGTGTGCTTAGGTTTGTGAAAATCGGTTTGGATTTAGATATAGCCCCCTATATATATGTACGTCCGATTTTATGTAAAAAGATCACCAAAGTCCCTTTATTTATTCGATTTGCAAGAAATTTGGAATTGGGTCTAGAATGATAGGGTAAAATATTTTCAATGAACTTATTCTAAATTCTTCCTAAAACGTATTAGAAAGAGCGCCATTTACAGCGATAATACAATTGAAAAAGAAGAAAAATCGCACAAGCCAATGACATATATACCAGGACTTTCCGAGAGATTGAGCAATTCAAATATCTATGACAAACACAATTATCAACTAGCCCCAAAGTCTAAAAATAATATCAATAGCCTATTCAGCCAGACAAAATCGAAAATAAAAAAGAAGACAAGTGCAATGTAGTATATAAGATAAAATGTAACGGGGACAAAACCAACTTATGCCAAAAGGTGTATGTTGGTACAACAAAAACCAAACTAAAGACAAGACTTTCTGGACATAAGTCGGATCAAAATGCAAACAAGCCATTAGAACAAAAAACGGCTCTTGCAGCACATTGCACAATGACGGGGCATACGCCAAATTTCAAAGACGTTGATATTTTGACACAGGAAAACAATTATAAACGACGATTTACTTTAGAAATGCCTTATATAATAAATGTACCGCAAGAGAAGAGAATGAATTACAAGACTGACACGGACCACTGTATAGAAATTTAGTTCATAAGCACAGACGAATTAAATTTTAGTTTAGCATAGACGGTGTAACAAACCTGTAGCTTCTCTCATAACGTAATATTTGTGTTATATTATTCTGTGAAAACCTTATAAAATAATTGTATCTTTTAGTATTTTCCTGAAGATGACTGTCGAAGACAGTCGAAATATTGGAGAATACAAATAAAAAAGCAGAAAACAAAATACTGAATTTTATTTAACCTTAAGCCGAAACAAATCCAAACAAGAAAAAAAAAGAAAATAAGTACACCTTGTTTAATTACTGTCAAGGCATATATGTATCACCACCAACACTGATGACCTTTAACATCAATAATTGATGGAAATACAAATACGAATCTGATCTGATAAGTTAACAAATAGTTTCCCAGCAGCAATCTTACACCAATACGCCCTGACAAGCGATTAACGAAGTCTAAATCTCAATATTTACATACAAGTTGCAATCAGTTTTTAACTGAACGCCAAAGCAGATAGCTGATGATTTTAATCTATTGCTCTAATTCGAATGTGTATATATAGAGAGAGGTCATAATTTACAAAACTGCCAAATAAAATGTTGCCGTTTTTATTATTTGTATCAAGCGTCGCTGCATTTGCACTTGTATGGTTTCTATTAAAATTAAATCGTGATTATGCTATAACCTCATTTGTAAGAAAAATTAAAACAATCGATGGATCACCCGTGGAAGAGACGTTCTCCATAGTTGGTGGATTTTGGGGTAGTAATTTTGATTTTCTGTCAATAACATTGGGTGAGTGAGTGTGTGTGATGATGTTTAATATTGTATTTGATTTTAATTTTCTTTTTTTTTTTTGTAGAACAATTGTTTTATTATTCTCGCAACTATGCCAAAGCATTTAAACGTAGCTATATCATCTACTTCCTATTGAATCCTGTTCTCAATGTCATCGATGCCAAAGATGCTGAATTGGTTTTGAATGATCCTCACATCCTGACAAAGGGTTATTTTTATACATTCCTACATCCATTTTTAAAAACGGGTCTTTTAACGAGTACAGGTAAGATGTGAATTTTTACAAATTGTGTTGTTATTGTACTAATTGTACAATTATGAATAATTATAAAAACTATTAGAAACAATCTATCAGGAATTAAAAAAAAAAAACAAGAACGATATGCTAATTATTAACTAACTGCTGGTTGAATAACATTTTAATTGCCTGTCAGTGGTTGATAATAGGCGTCGATTTTGTAATAAATATTATTTCCGTGATCAACAAGGCGTGAATTTTTTAATAAATATTTTTTCCAAGTAGCCACAAGGCGTAGATTTTTTAATGAATATGTTTTCCAAGTAGCCAGAAGGCGTGGATTTCTTTAAAAAATATTTTTTCAAGTAGCCACTGGGCCTGGAGTTGTTAAAAAATATTTTTTCAAGTAGCCACAAGGCCTGGATTTGTTAATAAATATTTTTCAGGGATAAATAAGGCGTGGATTTTTTAATTTTCCATCATAGTATGGAGGGTATATTAATTTTGTCAATCCGTTTGTAACTCATCGAAATATTCATTTCCGACCCTATAAAGTATATATATTCGTGATCAGGTTAAAATTCTATGACGATCTAGCCATGTCCGTCCGTCTGTTGTAATCACGCTATCTTCTGAAGGAATTGAGATAGATTTTGCATAGAGTCGCCTTATGTCTGCAGGCAGGTTAAGTTCGAAGAAGGGCTATATCGGTCTACGTTTAGGCATAGGCCCACATATAAGGTACCGTTTAGGCCCACATATAAGGTACCGCCCAATTTTCGACATTTTGGGGTACTTGAGCGCGCTTTTCAACCGAATTCGCTGTAATTTGGTACAATGGGTTTTTTTGGATAAAAATTTTTCCACTAAAAATTATAAATATATAGGTTCATTTTTTCAAGTAGTTCCCATATAAGGGCAGCCCCAATTTTCGTTATTTTGTGGTTACTGAATTCGCTGAAATTTGGTATATTGGTTTCTTTTTGGGTACCAAATGTCTCCACTACAAATTATACATATCGGTCCACTTTTTCTGGTAGCCCCCATATAACGGTACCCCCCATTTTACGGTATTGGGGGGGGGGGGGGGGGGGGGGGGGGGGGGGTATTTAGTCGCGTTTTTAAACCGAATTCGATGAAATTTGGTTCAATGGGTTTTTATTGGATACCAATTTTCTCCTAAGCGCGTTTTTCAACCGAATTCGCTGAAATTTGGTACTTTGTGTTCTTTTTGGGTACCAAATGTCTCCACTACAAATTATAAATATTGGTTCACTTTTTCTGGTAGCCCCCATATAACGGTACCCCCAATTTACGATATTTTGGGGGATTTTTTAAGCGCGTTTTTAAACCGAATTCGCTGAAATTTTTTACAAATGGTTCTTATTGGGTACCAAATTTCTTCACTAAAAATTATAAATATAGGCTCATTTTTTTGGGTAACCCCATATAAGACACCCTCAATTTTCGGTATTTGGGGGTTCTTGAGCGCGTTTTTCAACCGAATTCGCTGAAATTTGGTATTTTGTAGTCGCATATGGTAAAATTATTCCTACCAAAAATTATTAATATTCGCCCCCGAATATATTCGCGGCGAATATCATCATATAGGCGTATTCTAGTTTTACCCTACAATTTACGGTATTCTAAGACGATTTAGCTATCGTTTGTAATCATTCCGTTTTCTAAGGAAATCGTGATAAAAAAAAACTGGAACCTGACGATAATGAAATATATCGGTCAGCAATTAGGCATCTCACCCATATAATTTTACCTTCTGAAGGAAAAAATTGAGAGAAGAAAACAAAAATGTTGGGTTCGAAATTGTCATTAATTAGGCATAGCCCTCATATAATTATAACCCCAAATATTCGCTAATTCCTACAGTATGTAATCTAACTTTGTAATCTAAATTGCAGAAGTTTGAGGATTGTATATTCTACCATGCAATATTAGTAACCAGTCCACGCTTTGCGGTTTTCATTAAAAATTGCTGAAATTTGTATTTCGTGTACATAATGGTTTACATAAACCACTTTGTAAAATTATCGGTATAGGTTCACCTTTTGGTATGTTCCCTATATTTTCATTTCAAGTATCTGTCGAACTTTGGATACCCTCCACCATAGGTAGTGGAGGGTATCCAAAGTTCGGCCCAGCCGAACTTAACGCTTTTTCACTTGTTTAATTTAATAATATATTTTTTACCCTATTTCAGACAAAAAGTGGCACAATCGAAGACGTTTACTTACTCCCGCCTTTCACTTTAATATTCTGGAACAATTTATGTATACCTTCAAGTAAGTGCTAACCTTCAAATCCCAAATAAAAATTTTATGAACTAATTTAAACTTTTTTTTCCCACTCAGATCGGAATCCTTGAAATTCATTAAAACTTTAAATGGTTTAGTGGAAAATAAAAATTCCAATGGGATCATATCGTTAAATGAATTAATTCCACGCATAACTCTCAACAATGTTTGTGGTAAGAGAGAGATAGAGAGAGCGAGAGAGAAAAATTGTTTTCGATTGAAATTCCAAATAACATAGCTTCTTTGCCTTTTAGAAACGGCATTGGGTGTTTGCCTGGATGATCGTTTGGATGGCGATGAATATCGCCAGCTGATTAGCGAGGTGGACAAAAGTCTATTGGAGCGTATCAAAAATCCTCTCATGATTATCGATAGGATTTATTACAATTCAGCTGAGGGCCGGAAATATTTGAAATCGATAAAAACGTTGCATGCCTTCTCTAGTGGAATCATTGAAAAGAGACGTGAGCTATATAGCAGGGATGTGGTTCAGGAGGAAGATATACAAGCAAATGATCATGATGAGAATAAGTAATCAATGGTCTTCTTATTAAATAATTAAAAATTCTCTTTAAATTCCATACATTTGTTTACCTCTTTCTAGCATTTATCGTAAACGCCGTTACGCCATGTTGGACACGTTGCTGCGAGCCGAAAAAGATGGCCTCATCGATCACGCTGGCATTTGCGAAGAGGTCGATACATTTATGTTTGAAGGATTCGATACAACATCAATGGCTCTAATATTTGTTCTTATGGCCTTGGCCTTGCATCCGGATATGCAACAAAAATGCTATGATGAAATAAACGAACACATAGCTGGAGATCATGCCACCTTGGATATGCAACAATTAAATAATTTAAAATATTTAGATTGTTTTATAAAAGAAACACAACGTATGTATCCGTCAGTGCCAATTATTGGACGTGAATGTACCGAGGATACAGTGTTTGGTGGCAAGATGCTATTTCCCAAAGGTACACAAATCCACATGCACATCATCGATATACACATGAATCCCAAATACTATGTGGATCCGGAGAAATTTGATCCGGAACGTTTTACGCCATCACAGGCGGAAAAACGTCATCCATTTGCCTTTATACCGTTTAGTGCGGGACAAAGGAATTGCATTGGTGGGTAGCAATAAATTGTTATTAGATTTTTTTTTTTTGAAAATTTCTATTTTTTGTATATTTTTCAGGTCAAAAGTTCGCCCTGCTGGAAATCAAAACACTTTTGGTTTACGTTCTTAAGAATTTCATATTGGAAGCGATAACCCGTCCCGAAGATTTTCGTTTTCAATGTGGACTTTTGATACGCACCACCACAGATATAAAAATTAAGATAAAGAAACGGGAATAAATAAAGAAAATTAAAAGATTTATTAAAAAACCCCACTACTTGTGGCTACTTGATAGTAACAACCGTCCACTCGGAGACTAATGTCCATTGTGATGATAGCGAGAGAAGGAGAGCGGAGAAATGGTTATTTTAGTCATGTCAGATTTTTGACAAAGCCTAGGATCTGGTTGGGGTCTATTTTAGATTATCAATTTCATATCGTTCAAACTGTTTGTGTCTTCTGCCATTCATCGATAGACATCTACATCAATTGTTTCTAGCTTCAGTCCAGATAGATTTTGAGATTCTGCAACCAGGTTCTCTCGACCATCTGTTGCCGACTACCTCACCGTAGAACAAGCGGATTTTGCCAATGAAATAGCCAATGGGTGGTTTCACAGATCTCTCAAATGGAAGATTGGACGATTGTGAGCCCCCTTGAGCAAGCTCGTCGGCTATCTCATTCTCTTCAATGTCAGTATGTCCTGTAACCCAACATAAGTTAACTATCTGTCGTATATCATTCAGAGCGCACTTGCAATCATGAACTGCTTTTGAATTTATAGAACACGATTTCACCGCCTTAATATGACTATATGACTATCGACATATATTGTCACCGGTCCCGTAATGTCGCCAGTAAGTGATTTTACTATCTCGGCCGCTTTCGTGATTGCAAGGATTTCTGCTTGAAAAACACTGCAAAGATTGTAAGTTTATACGAGTTGTAGATTTCTAATTCCCCACAATAAACGCCTGCACCAGTGCCTTCCTCCATCTTTGACCCGTCAGTGAAAAAATACAGACCTGGCAGAGCCACTAAGAAACTCTATTTTGATGTCATTAAAGTCTCTGTGACAGGGAACATAGTCACTAATATGAATATTTCCCCTCAAGAGGTCACAACCTGTCGTTATGTTTAGGATACTAGCGTGACCATAGTTCAGCAAATTCCAGGCATTTCCCAGAGCCTCAGAGCACACCTGGCCGGCTGGAATTTAATCAGAATGTCCAGTGGTTGGAGATTCAAGATTGCATTCAAGCCTACCTGTGGTGTACTTCTTAGCACTCCGGTGATCAGGATTGAAGCCGATCGCTGTACTAAATTTAATTTTGTCAGCAGCATCTTTTTGTTGACTCCCTGCCACCAAACAAGGCAACTATATGTAAGAATAAGGAGAACGATCGTCACATACAGCTATGATCACCGGTCTTAATCCCCAGCTATTACCTATGGAGTTCTTGTATGAGTAGAGATCTAGCAGTCCTTTCATAGATCGTTCCTCAACATTCCTATTCCACGTTGATTTGCGGTCAAGGATAGTACCATGGTATTTTGCTTCTTCAGAAAGGGTTAGGGTCACTCCTACCAGTGATGGCAGGCGGAAACTAGGAATCTTACGTTTGCTAGTGGAGAGCACCAATTCTGTCTTAGAAGGGTTTACACCAAGACCTTTGGTGCATGCCCAGTTAGACAGAGTTGAAAGGGCACCCTCCAAAATATTTGTAATTGTCATTAGAAACTTACCACCAGCCAGCAGGACTATATCATCGGCATAGGCTACAACCTTTATCCTAAGATGATTTAATTTCAGCAGTATCTCATTTATCACCAGAAGCCAAAGAAGGGGAGATAATACTCCTCCCTGTGGTGTGCCTCTGTTGACAGATATCATCGTGGAACTCTCTCCTAAGGATGAGTTGATAATTCTGCTTTCCAACATTCTATCAATCCAGTCCGTTAGAAGTGTAGGGATACCTGAACATACGAGAGCAGAATGGATGGCTTTTAGCTCCACATTGTTAAAAACTTCCTCAATGTCGAGGAATGCTGCCAAAGTGTAGCCAGGGGACTCCATATTCTTCTCGATGCATCCCACCACCTCATGTAAGGCTGTATCCACTGATCTGCCTTTGATGTATGCATGCTGGGAGTTGCTAAGTTTACTTTGGTCAATAGTGTTCCTAATTTCTGAGTCTAGTAACCTCTCTAAAGTCTTGAGTAGAAAGGAAAAGAGGCTAATCGGTCTATACTCTTTTGGGAACGTATGACTCGGCTTCCCGTCTTTTGGCATGAAGGTCAGTGTTACCTCTTTCCATAGACTAGGTATGTACGATGGAAGTAGACAAGCCCTAAAATGTCCTGTAGAGAGGCTAATACTCGTTCACCTGCGTGTTGCAGCATGGCCAGTATTATACCATCTGGACCAGGTGACTTATAGGGTTGAAAACTATTTATCGCCCACACCAGTTTTGGCTAGCTTCTAGCTTCTCCTCCTCCCTCGTTCGAACCAGATGCTGATGCGCACACTGCCCACCTTCCCTATAGTCCTTACAATCAGGAAAGTGGGTTGACGATAGAAGATCAAGATTATCCCTGCCAGAGTTTGTCCACGTTCCATCACTTCGCCTAATACTACCTATAGATTTTGGATATTTAGATAGTACTCTTACAACCAGAAATGTGGGTTGACGATAGAAGATAAAGAGTCTCACTGCCAGAGTTTGTTCACGTTCCACCACTTCGCCTAATACTACCTATAGATTTTGGATATTTAGATAGTACTCTTACAACCAGAAATGTGGGTTGACGATAGAAGATAAAGAGTCTCACTGCTAGAGTTTGTTCACGTTCCACCACTTCGCCTAATACTACCTATAGATTTTGGATATAGATAGTACTCTGCGAAATCTTGCCGCTTCGTTGACTCACGTTTAGCCTTTTTGATTTCGCTCTTGTATCCACGCCTTGCTATGCCTTGAAAAAAATATGTATTAAAAAAATCCACGCCTTGTGGATATTTGAAAAAAATATTTTTTTTTTAAATATTCACGACTTGCTAAGTCTAGAAATAAAATTGGTTAAAAAATAAGCCTTGGGTGGTGTATACATATTGTCGTAAATAATACGCCACCATGAACCATAATTGCAACTATGGTTTATCAATCAGGAAACAAAATTTACCACACATTCCCGATGGTTATTAAAGTGTTGATAATGCTAAATTATATACCACCTCATAATTAGTAATTACTATTTATAATTATAGGTTATAAAATAAATGTGTATAAAATAAATTTACCGCATTTCGAAATTTTTAAAGGGGAAATTAAAAAATTCAAACTTTTAAAATATTTTAATCAGTCAAAATTTACCACAAAAAATATATTATAAAATACTATATGTATGTAATAATAAAATTTGTTTTAATTTTAAAATATCCGGGTTCGAATTACTGTAGAAAAGTTGCCTATAAAATACCCATCAATGCATTAACAAGAATTTAGTTCAATTTTTTTCTGCTTCGATTCAACTATTAGCAAATTAAAAAAATATAATTTTGAAATATGTTACCGTTACTAGTAATAATAATATTAATATCGATTATTATATCCATTTTGAAACAATTAAATCGTAATTATGCTCTAACATCACTGACCCGACGGATACAAACCGTCGATGGAAAACCCATTGAAAATGTGGTTGATGTTGTTGGAGGCTTTTGGGGTAGTAATTTTGATTTGTTAAGAATGCATATGAGTGGTGGGTAAATTTAAAATCGTTTCGTTAAATATTTCTAAGTTTTTTTATTTCAAAATTTTAGCTCAAATTTTTGAATATTCTCGTCGCATGGCTAAAACGTTTCGACGCAGCTATGTTCAATATTTCCTTTTGACTCCGACGTATAATGTCATTGATGCCAGCGATGCTGAAATGATATTGAGCGATTCCCGCATAATGGATAAGGGACTGCTGTATCGGTTTTTACATCCATTTTTGAAAACCGGACTTTTGACAAGTACCGGTAAGACAGCTATAACCAATTTTTAATAAGGGGGTCATAATTAAATTTTTTACTACAAACTGAAATTTATATTTTTTCAGTAAGGATCCAACATCCTGTACACTGTTATTTCTTTACAAGTTATTCTTATTTTCCTATTTATTTTTAGGCAAAAAATGGCATACACGACGTCGTTTGCTCACTCCAACCTTTCACTTTAACATCCTGCAACAATTTATGGAAATTTTCAAATTAGAATCGGCGAAATTTGTTGCCGATTTAAATAAGCAGTTGGAATCTGAAGATTTTAATGGTATTATTTCGTTAAATGAAATGATACCACGATTTACCTTAAATATTATATGCGGTGAGTT